TCATAAAAAGCTTATTGGTTTTCATTTGCAAAGTATGCGGAATATATAAAAAAGTTTACATTAAACTTCTATCGGTAATATATTAAGTCGTTTATGAAAAGCATAAACCAAAAACACGATTAGTTTAGATAGAATTTTTTTAAATTGCTTTCTATCGGACATTTTAAGCAGGGGGAATTAACTAAATAGTACACTATTAAAAAGATTGTGCAACCAAAAGTCTTAGCAACCACAAACAGGGTAGAATTAAAGATTTTTTTTACCTAATCACTCTATAAACTCTACTACTACTAAAAACTCTACTTGGAGTGAAATTTTCACTCTAGTTGGAGTAAAATATTCACTCTTATGAAAAGTGAGATGTCATTCCATTCAGAAAGGCAGTATTTTTACTATCGCTTAGAGTTATTATCCACTTAGAGTAAAACTTTAGAGTAAAACACTTTAGAGTAAAACACTTTAGAGTAAAACTTTGATCCAAGAAATTTAGAAAGTATATGAATGAAACAGAACAAGTGGATTTCTTTCTTTATAATAGACGAAAGAATAAAACGATTTAACAATTCCCAGATCACGCGTCCTGATGGGCATATATATATATATATATATATATATATATATATATATATATATATATATATATATATATATATGCGCGACCACAGTGAATAGATATAACACATTATTTATGCGATGATCTAATGTTTTAGAGTCTGTTCTTTCTTGCTATGGTAATATAAAGAATTATCTACAGCAACACTTCTTTCGTTATCATTATGAATTTGTATCAGCAATAGTGGTTTTATTATAACAAATGCATTTGCTAAGAATATTTTATACTATTTTACTCCAACTAATAAAGTAATGTGTGTTCATAAAGACAAATTTAAAGAAAAATTTTTTAAATCTAGCGACCAAACTGTTTCTACTTTAATAAAAAATAATTAGAAAAATTGATGATGCCAACTAAATTTTTTCACTGTTGCTACTAATATGTAGTAGCAACAATAGTTTCGCTACAACAGCAAACTTATTTTTCTCCGAGTATTTGTAATAAGATCTCAAATCGAAAAGTTAAGATATTTAAGAAGGTTAGAGAAATAATTTTAAGAGTAATACGAACACGGAAGCAAAATTCACATAATTTTTGAGAATAATTTTTCACTAAAATTATTAGTGAAAAATAATTTTATTTTTCACGCGCCTCTTACAAAAGAAAACAAATCGTCATATGACGAGAATCTGCAAGACCGAAGAATCCAGTTAAAGGATCATGGTATTAGTGGGATTGTGCGAGATTAAAGCTGTTGTGCAAACATCACGGAGACAAGGAGCGAATGCAAGGGGAAAACCTTGGACGCGGTAGTCCTAAAAATATGTCGGCAGCATGTATTATAACCGGCGCGCTTGTATGCGAAGGGATTTGTTTTACGTTCAAAAGTGAATTTGGCGGTACGCCAAAGGCGAGTGTCCGAAAGAATCTCCCCCTCCTAGTGAGAACGCGCGATTAGAAGAGACGCGGTGCGAGTTTTAGTTTTAGTCATCGCGCGCCGCGCGTCGTTGATTGCACGCGGCTCGCACGGAATGTTCATTGTTGTTCAATAGGTCTGGAAACATCAAAAAGTGAAATTAAGGAAACGGTATTCCCAAGTCGATAAATCCTTTCGGATTAAACGCGTTCAACACCTATATTCGATCTACAGGTCGAATCGATATATGAATTCTAATTCTCTCTGAAGGATTAGGCAACAAAGATTTCGTAAGAATTTCGTCTTTCGTAAGGTTATAAGAGTATTAAAAGTTCGTTGAAGCAATCTGGTTAAAAATTGTGTTTTATTAAACACACAATAATGATTCGAAGTGTTGATCAACGACGTAATGATATAATTCGAATGACAGTGTATGATAACAAACCTTGAAAGTGGTATTGGCAGGATGGTATACATCGCCGGAGCCGGAAAGTCCTCCTCGTAGCAATCGGGAGAGAAGATTGTAGCGACCCATTGTCGACCATGCGTCTTTCGTCGATTGTACAGGATATCTAAGCAAAAGAAAATATATCGTTTTCTGTCACAGTGTATCACATTAATGCTTACAATGAGACTTATGCTTTTTTCTCAAAAATTAATATAATGAAATTCTCTCAACTGGATAAAAATTCCCGAGGAGATATTTATCGTAAATATGTTTCAAGATTCTTTTTTTATGCGAAAAAAGACCTCTTGAAAAAAATAAAAAAAAGAAGTGAAATAAATCGCAACTAAAACAGACGTCTGTATTCTATACATGACTCTGCGCGTTTCGGATTTCACTTTCGCAATCAAATACGGATGTCCCAGTGAGAAGTGATGTGTTGATGTCAAAATAATGTCGAATCGATGTCGATCGATGAGTGATTTTTCGCTATGATACACGACTCATAGCGGTTAAAATGCTCATTCGCAGCTTACCCTTTCGCGAATTTATATATTTTCGGTGGCTGATCGCCTTCGATGATGGTTTTCACGTAGTAATA